AAAAAAAAAAATTAAAAAATAAAAAATAAAATTAAAAAAACCCAACTATTAAAAATGAGAAAAAGACTTACATATTTTTCAAAAAAAGACATACATGTGGCCAATAGATCATTCAAAAAATGGTCACTGTCTGTTATCAGGGAAAGGGAAGCAAAAAAAAAAAATAGGTGATATCACTTCTGTTAGAATGACACTAATTAAGAAGAAACAAGTGTTGGTAGAAATGTGAATTTAAAAAATTGCTTGCACACTATTGGTTTGAGTGTATATTGATTTTATTTATGCTTGTATAAATTTTATAATGACCATAAAAATGTTGTAGTCAGTAACAATTTAATTGTACATTTTAGAATAACTAAGACTGCAGAATTGAATTTTTTGTAATGAAAAACATAAAAGCCAGAGGTTATAAGTACTTTCTTTACCCTAATGTGATTACTACAAATTGTACAGTATAATTGTATACTATAAATCATTTAATTGTATACTATAATTTTATAGTATACAATTTATAGCATACTATAAATGTATACTATAAATTGTATGACTATCAAAATATACCATATATGGCATAAATAGATACACATATTATGTACACACAAAAACTGAGAAAAATAAATTTAAATGTAAAAGAAAAAAATTAACCTACAGGAACCATATTTAACTTCTTTGCCACTGGCAAATAATACTAGAGACGTTAAAATGTAGTTTTATCACATAAAAGTACAATTACTAAAATGACATACTAATTAATTTTGATTCAATTTTAAATATAATTAAGGATGATTCTTTTCTCATAATAATGCATTAGATTACTTGGTGTTGAGTGCAGTGGCTCACACTTGTAAACCCAGCACTTTGGGAGGCTGAGGCGGGTGGATCACTTGAGGTCAGGAGATCAAGACCAACATGATGAAACCTTGTCTTACGAAAATACAAAAATTAGCTGGACATGGTAGTAGGCACCTGTAATCTCAGCTATTGGGAGGCTGAGACAGGAGAATGACTTGAACTTGGAAAAAGGAGCTTGCAAGATCATGCCACTGTAATCCAGCCTGGGCAACAGAATGAGATTCCCTCTCAAAAACAAAACACACAAAGGAATATTACTCAGAAGGGCTACCTCATACATCACCCAATTCTATAAGTTAACCACAAAGAGGCTTTCTACTTAGCTTTTCTTTTTTTTTTTTTTTTTTGGATTACCTGAGGTCAGGAGTTCCAGACCAGCCTGACCAACACGGTGAAACCCTCTACTTAGCTTTTCATCTTGCATTTTACATTTTTTTTTCTTTACAAACAGCTCTGGGCATGGACCATCTTACATTTTAATGTCCATACTTGCCCATAAGAGATGTCCTAAACAATAACCACCTAATAAAAAGAGTCTCCCAAATCTTTGGTGCAGCAAGAATTGATCACATGCTTTTATATGTGAATACAATAGAAATGAAGAAACAGCATGAAGTAATTGAAACTTGAATTCCATCATTTTTCAGTTTCCAAACTATATATATATATATTTATTTTTTTTTTCTTTGAGACACAGTCTTGCTCTGTCACCCAGGCTGCAGTGCAGTGGCAAAATTTCAGCTTACTGCAGCCTCCACCTCACAGGTTCAAGTGATTATCATGTCTCAGCCTCCCAAGTACCTGGAACTACATGTGTGCACCACCAAGCCCAGGTAATTTTTGTATTACTTTTTAGTAGAGGTGGGGTTTTACCATGTTGGCCACATTGGTCTTTCACTCTTGACCTCAAGTGATCTGCCCACCTCAGCATCCTAAAGTGTTGGCCTTATAGATGTGAGCCACTGTGTCTGGCCAAAAAAAATGTATATTTCCAAAAAAGAAAAATAAGTATACTAAATATAACTCTTCAAAGTTTTTTTTTTTTCAGATGGACTCTCTGTCACCCAGGCTGGAATGCAGTGGCATGACCTTGGCTCACTGCAACCTCTGCCTCCTGGGTTCAAGCGATTCTCCTTTCTCAGCCTCCTGAGCAGCTGGGATTACCGGCACCTGCCACCACACCCAACTAATTTTTGTAGTTTTTAGTAGAGGTACATTTTCACCATCTTGGCCAGGCTGGTCTTGAACTTCTGACCTTGAGATCCACATGCCTTGGCCACCCAAAGTGTTGGAATTACAGGTGTGAGCCTCGGAGGCCGACCAAGATCTAGTTCTTTTAAAGTTATATACAAATAGGTTTTCTACCAACTTTATTTTTGGATTTTTTACTATACTCAGCAATTCGATTTAGTGTAATGTCTAACGTTTGAGAGACAGATATTTCTACTGTGAATTCCCTGATACTTACATGAACTTAATATTGGATTAATTTTTTTAATATTTACTATATCCACAAAAATATATTTTAGTATAAACTCTCTGGTGTTTTATAATCTGTAGTTTTTGAAAAAATATTTTTCCAAATTATATAAATTCCCTGATGTTAAACAAAGTTGGAACAACTGCCTCAGGGGTTTCCTTTAGTACCAAATGTGAACAATAAAATCTGTGATACAAGTAAAAGTACCACAACCCTCTGTATATTTGTAGTGTTTGTCTTCAGAATAAACATTCTTCTGCACCTTAAGGGCTTATATTTCTGAAAGATCTTTTGAGACTAATTGTATTTTTAATGCTTTTATTTAGCATAAACTCTCTGATGTTGAATGTGGGCAGATATTGACTTTCACACTTCCTTTTTTTTTTTTTTTTTTTTTTTGACAGAGTCTCTCCCTGTAGTCCAAGCTGGAGTGCAGTAGTACAACCTTGTCCAAGTGCAAGCTGTGCCTCCTAGATTCAAGCAATTCTCCTGTCTTGGCCTTCAGAGTAGCTGGGATTACAGATGCCTGCCACCATGCCTGGCTAATTTATTTGCATTCTTAGTAAAGATGGGTTTTCGCCATGTTGGCCAGGTTGGTTTTGAACTCCTGACCTCAAGTGATCTGTCCATTTCAGCCTCCCAAAGTGCTCAGATTTCAGGCATGAGCCACCACCATGCACAGCCTACACTTTCTTTATATTTGAACCTTTGTTCTCAAGTATAAATGCTTTCCTGTGCAATAAGGTGTAAGCATTGGTTAAATATTTTGCCACATTGTTCACACTAGTAGTTTTCTCCAGTCAATCAAGTGTGACAGCCATTTAAAAGCTTTATCACATTCTTCACATTTCTAGGATTTCTCATCAATATGATTTCTTTTATACTTAGAAAAGTTTGAGGTGTTGCCAAAAGCATTGTCACATCTTTCAGGTTTGTAGAGTTTCTCTAGTATAAATCATCTTATGTCTGTTAAGAATTGAGGATCTGTTGGAGGCTTTCCGACATTCTTCACATGTGTAGGGTTTCTTTCCAGTACGAGTTGTCTTATATGTAGCAAACCTCAAGGACTACTTAAAGGCTTTGACACATTCCACACACTTTAAGGATTCCCTCCAGCATGAATTACCTTATGTTTAGTAAGAATTGAGGAACAGTTAAAATGTTTGCCACCTTCTTCACATTTCTAGGGGTTTCCCTCCAATATGAATTCTCTTATGATGAGTAAGGGTTGATGACCAGTTAAAGGCTTTGCCACATTCTTTACATTTGTAGGGTTCCTCTTCAGTATGAATTACCTTATGTCTAGTAAGAAGTGAGGACTTTTTAAAGACTTTGCCACATTCTTTACATTTGGAGGGGTTTATGATTTCTCTTATGCTCACTAAGGCTTGAGGGCCAGGTGAAGGCTTTGCCACATTTTTCACATTTGTAGGGTTTCTCTCCAGCATGAATTATCTTATGTTTAGTAAAAATTGAGAATTGATTAAAAGCTTAGCCACATTCTTCACATTTGTAGGGTTTCTCTCCAGTATGAATTCTCTTACGCATAGTAAGGGTTGAGGACCGGTTAAAAGTTTTGCCACATTCTTCACATTTGTAGGGTCTCTCTTCAGTGTGAATTACCTTATGTCTAGTAAGAAGTGAGGCCTTTTTAAAGGCTTTGCCACATTCTTCACATCTGTAGTGGTACTCTCCAGTATGATTTCTCTTATGTTCACTAAGGCTTGAGGCCCAGGAAAAAGCTTTGCCACATTCTTCACATTTGTGGTGTTTCTCTCCAGTATGAATTGCCTTGTGTGTAGTAAGGCTTGAGAACTGGTTAAAGGCTTTGCCACATTCTTCACATTTGTAGGGTTTCTCTCCAGCATGAATTAGTTTCTGTTTAGTAAAAATCCCAAATCGATTAAAAGCTTTGCCGCATTCTTCACATTTGTAGGGTTTCCCTCCAGTATGGATTCTTTTATGATTAGAAAGGCTTGAGAACCAGGTGAAGGCCTCGCCACATTCTTCACATTTGTACGGTTTCTCTCCAGCATAAATTCTCTTATGTTCAGTAAGTCTTGAGGACCAGTTGAAGGCTTTGCCACATTCTTCACGTTTGTAGGCTTTCTTTCCAGTATGAATTCTCTTATGATAAGTAAGCGTTGAGGAACAATTAAAGGTTTTGCCACATTCTTCACATTTGAAGAAATTCTCTCTAATATAAATTCTTTTATGTTGAGATAGGTGTGAAAGCATGCAAAATGATCTGTCATATTCTTTACATTTCAAAAGTTTCTTTCCAGTATGCCCTATCTTATGTCTGTTTGAACTTGAAAATTTATGGAAGACTTTGGCATATTTATCACATTGAAATACTTTGCTCTGTGCAGTTGTCAAACTCTGGTTATGATTATTATAACCTTTTTTGTGAACTTCAGACTCATCCACATTGGTGCAACCAATTTTTAACTGCAAATTCTCATGTTCACATTTTTCATGTCTTCTCAATATCACTTTTTGAAAAGAATCTTCTAGGCCCTGCTCTGGCCAAAGGTCTTGAGCAAAATAGGAACATATAACTGAAAAGAAATAAAAACAAATTAGTCCACTTATTAGACTCTGATAAATATATTTTTACGAATCTAACCGATAAAATTATTCAATCCACACAAATGAGATGACATTGCAACATACCACAGGTCCTAAGTACTTCAGAGATATGTAAATGTTATAAAAACATACATACCAGCTGGGTATGGTGGCTCACATCTGTAATCCCAGCATTTTGGGAGACCAAGATGGTCAGATCACCTGAGATCAGGAGTTTGAGACCGGCCTGACCAACATGGAGAACCCCTGTCTCTACTAAAAATACAAAATTAGCCAGGTGTGGTGGTACATGCCTGTAATCCCGGCTACTCAGGAGGCTAAGGCAGGAGAATCAATTGCTTAAACCCGGGAGGAGGTTGTTGTACGCCAAGATCGTGCCATTGCATTCCAATCTGGGCAACAAGAGCAAAACTGTCGCCCCCACAAAAAAAAAAAGAAAGCATACGAACCAAAATACATATGTAGATAATTAGATAATTTATGAGTTAAGTGTGTGCAGTGCATAAAGTGAGTTCAATGCAAAAATCCACACAGAAAAAATAAAAAGTTTCTGACATTTACCAAACACAACACTTTCTGCTTCCTAATATTACATAGTTTCTTTACAAGTAAGTTGTCAACTTCTGGTTTCTTTCTTAAAAGATGAGAAAAATATTGGCACATACAACTTAATTTCTGGCTTTGACGGGCCTTTTCACACTGTTTCTGTCTCCCATGACATAAAGTGCTGAAAGAAATGGTAATATACTTTGAAATGAGAGTTTGAGTCTGCTAAGACCAAAGATTTTGGGCAAAATAAAAGCATACAACTGAAAAGAAATAAAATAACAAATTAGGCCACTGCAGAGGAGCACTGCAGTGCTACAGAGAGGGCAGGTGTCACAAGCGATTACTTACTTTGCAGAAGAAACATAAACAATCTCCTTTAGCTAGAAGTAAACACAAAATTTCAGACAGGACAAACCTGAAGATGATGTTTGAGAGATTCCCATAATCTCCAGCCAAGACCACTGTTTTCTGACTATGCCAGGACAAAGCTACATTGTAAATTTTGTGACAGGTGGCCTTTTTAAATGTCCAAATCTGAAACAGTACAATCTGTAAATGGGGCAATATAATCTCATCAAAAATACTATAAAATTTTCAGAAAGAAATCATTAAAAATGCATATGCTAATTTAAAAAATTGAATAATAATGATTGAAACAGGAAAACAGACGAATATTGAAAATCAGAAAAATGATAAAACAAAAATATTTAAATTGTGGTGGTAGAAAAATACAAAAAGAAATAACAATTCTAAAATTATGAAAAAAATGGTGCAAACATGAAAAAGCTCAAAAGCAAATTAGGATACATACAAAGACATTGGTAACAAAAACATATTTATAATCACAATTTCTTTTTTTTTTTTTTTTTTTGAGATGAGTCTCACTCTGTTGCCTAGGCTGGAGTACAGTGGCATGATCTTGGCTCACTGCAACCTCTGCCTC